AATAAAATAAAATAAAATAAAATAAAATAAAATAAAATAAAATAAAAATTGGAAAGGTAAGGTCGGTGACGTTCTACATATTAAAACCTTGCTATGGCTCACGCTTCTGTGAACCCATGAACAGCACATATGTACTCAGCATGCATATCAAAGAGAGCAGAAACGGGGTTTAACTGCATGAAGAAACAATCAGTAAAATTAAACTGCTTACTGCAGGAAGAGTTTTGGTCAAATCTATAGGAGACCATATTTTTTAAAAAATGAATTAACCTTAAAATAGCATATTGATTTTTAACTTGTGTGCTGCATAAGTGAAAGCGATAGAAATCTAAGGGACAAAATACCCACTGGAAAGGGCCTTCAGTCTTCCACAGTTCAATGCCCTAAAGCTGAAGCTATTTTCAGTTTCCTCTCTGAAAAGACTCAGAGAGGAGCCTAAACAATGCAAGTAAAAGCAGCCCGCACACTCTTTCTTTTCTCAACCCCACCCCCAACTACTCCAAGATCTGTTTTTGCCACAACTTCATAAGTATTTCAATTACTTGTTCCCTGAACAGTCCTGCAGAGAGACTGTCCCCAGCCCCCTTCTTCCCGATGAAGATATTGAGGTTAAGTGATTTTCTCAGGGTTACAAAGAGACCTCGCAGCAAAGGGGGAATGAGAACCAGTAGTTCAACCTTCTAGCGGATGAATAGATTGAGTTTCAGAGAAGCTCTGCTATTGTATTGCAAAGGAGCCACTCAAATGCCTGGCTGAATGTTTAAGTCCTAGAAATGAAAGGGAGGCTGCAAGGAGAGCATTTTCTTTCTTATTAATGACATAGGCAATTGTCTAAAGTTGTAAAGAAAGGCCCTGTAGAAAAAAAGTCTTGTCTTTTTAAGTACAAACAGCAGGACACTCAATTTGGGACCCTCTGTCAAGGAGACTGTTGTCATCTGTCTACTTACAGACAGCGCTGCTGAGGAAGCTGGCCTCCAGATTGGAGATGTGGTGCTGTCTGTCAACGGTACTGAGGTCACCAGTGTTGAGCATGCAGAAGCCGTGCACCTCGCCAAGAAAGGTAAGTGGGCCTTTGTTCAGTGAATTGTTACAGACAATTCACTGAAAGTGCTGAGAACTCCATACACAGGCAGTTACCAAATGTGAAAAGGTGGCAGATATAGAGGGATACCTTTTCAACATGACATTTTATTCTGGCAATTAAATCTTACTTCTAGAATATTTACCCTTTGTATTGCTCATCGCACAGACGTGAAACCTGAACACGTTAGTGTTCCACCCAGTTCGCGAGCCCCCAAAAGATCTACAGGAATCGACTCCGTTGCAAAACACATGAGGGTCTTTTTATTGTAAATTACAAGCTGCAGCTTCGGCCCACAACACCAACCGCTGAAGCAGTGGGAGCTGAGCGCCCTGTGCACAGATTAGTTGGGTGATTTAAAGATTCTGGTCCCTCCCAGCATGCCCAAGGCAGGGGCGATTCCTGCCTGGCAAGCATCTATTGGTCAAAATGCTACATTTTGAATCAATTGGCTATAAGAAGGTCCCCAGACCATAAAGACCTGGTGTCCCTCCCTAGAGGGATGGGCCAGTTTCCTAGCAACTGTTATCTCTAGTGGGTGGGGAAAGAATGCAGTAAGGCGGTCCTTCCCCTCAGGGCATTACTAGACTTCTCCACCCACATAGTTCAGGTCGTGATAATAGCTGCTAATTTTTAATCTTTTTGGTCTCTCATTAGTAAGCAAAATACACTCTACTACCAAAACATTTCTTTAATTTAAAAAGGTTTCTTTATTAAAGAATTCATTTACTATTTCATTTCATTTCTTTTTGCATACACTCTTCCACTTGTTTTTCCATTTTTTTGCAAAGTAAAACAAAATAAAACAAAACCTCAGGGTTTTAATATGGTGTGTGGTGTGTGTATCAGAGGGAGACACAGAAAGAGAGAGATGTCACAGGTCTGAAGCTTTTAGAGATTCTCTTAGGACCACGTGAGGCTGTGTGTTTAGCGATTCCAACACAGGTGGAACCACCACAGCATAATGTG